GGACTTCTCGTTGTTGTGGGGGTTGTGCTTGCTGTTGTTGCCGGGGGCTCTTGGCCCGCGTGGGGACGCCGGCCTTGCCCGAGGGCTGTGGGACTCGTCTCGCAAGTGCGTGTGGGGTATCCTCCAGTGATGCGCTGCAGGGTCTGTGGTCCACGGCCGAAAGGGGCTCGCGTGTTTTGATGCCGGTGCGGGGCGGGCGTGTTCTCCCCTGAGGTAGTTGCGGGAGCTGAGCGATGATGCGATGCGTTTGGGATCAGGGTAAAGGGAGCGGAGTGAGGAGCGTCAGCCAGAGGACTTCAGGGCGGGATGCTGGGCTTTGTGGAGTGTGGAGCGCAGCCCCCGCTGTAAGGGGTGAAGGCAATCAGGTAGTGTCGGGCTTCACACTGTTATCTGCCTGCGTGTTCTCCCCTGAGGTAGTTGCGGGAGCTGAGCGATGATGCGATGCGTTTGGGATCAGGGTAAAGGGAGCGGAGTGAGGAGCGTCAGCCAGAGGACTTCAGGGCGGGATGCTGGGCTTTGTGGAGTGTGGAGCGCAGCCCCCGCTGTAAGGGGTGAAGGCAATCAGGTAGTGTCGGGCTTCACACTGTTATCTGCCTGACCTTGGTGAACTCCACGGTCTTGGGGAGATGGGGCCTGCCATGGGCCTGGAGGGAGCGGGAGGAGGAGCTCTCCTGACTAAAGCGGCGCGTATCATACAGGCAAAGCTTGCAGTGTCCCTGATCTTCCAGCTGTGGCTGAATGTATCTGCACTTGCAGAAAACTTAACTGCTCTTTCCAGTTGCAACATTCTACAGGTTTTTTGTGGTAGGCTGAATCAATAAATGATCCAGGCTACAAATTACCTTATTTCTGGAGGCTTTTTTTTTAAGCTTCTCTTTTCACTGATCTGTTTGCATAATCCCAGGAATACACTTGTGTTAGAGGTCAGAGGGGAAGATAGAACTGTAACATGGGATGGGAAAAAAGTACTGGAGGTGAAAGTCCGTAGAAGCTACTTACACTGGTTTTGCTAGTAGAAAAGCCAAGCCTGTGGGTTCTGGTGCTATCTCCAGCACCTAATGAGTAGGCTGATCTTTCCCCAAGGCTGTCAGGACTTTAGGATAGCTTAAGCTTTTTTTGCTCAATATTCTGAAGCAAGATTTTTTTTGAAAAACAGTTAAGCGTCCTCAGCAGCTTTTTATGGACATTGTCTGAAGAAATGCTTATACTGTAAAGCTAAAGTTCCTCTTATATTGTAGTACAAATGCAGTTAATGAAGGCCCCCCCCCAATTTAGACTAGCATGAGTAAGCCTGAGTGCACAGTTGAGACCGTGTGCATATGAATATGAGTGAATGGGAAAAAGATTTAGAACTTATGCCCTGTACAAAATACTTATTAAATACCAAAGATTATGGGAAAGAAATGCTAAGTGAGTTCTGTTAAAATACCATCTTTGAAAAATAACTCAGTTCATTACAGCTTCAATCTCCTCCCCACTGTCTCCCCCCCAAAAAGTCTACCTTGTTCTTTGCTGTTAATAAATGTAGGCCAAACTGAAACAAGTTTCCTTATTTAAAAGAAGTGTAAGGTTGAGCGAACAGATTTTACATTCGTTGCCCAACTCCTGCAGTGCCTCATGCAGTGAAAGTGAATTCTCAGAAGACATGAGGCAGGAAGAAAACTTGGAATGAGGCCCTGTTCTCTGGAAATGTAGTTGCACTTTTCATCTGCTTAAAAAATGGTCTGAAAGGACAAGCTGTTTACTGCAAAGGGTCTTATTCAGAGCATAGGAACGCCATGTGTCATTTGGCTTGCCGGATTATTTCTGGGTTTCAGAAATCGTGCCATGCAAAGGTGGTAAAGGGCAAATACTGCAGTGGTAAGTAACAGATAGGATACATCAAACTTGATCTGATCACATGCTTCCAGAACCGCAGCAACATATCAGAAATTAAATTAAAAGCAGTGTTTTTCATTCTTACTCTCTGTGGAGAGGGAGAAAGATGTGAAGAATTTAGTCTCTGTTACAGAGACAGAAGGGAGCAGAGACTGAGCGAGCACAGGTTTCACATGCTTCATGTGCTTTTGGAGTCTGGATCGAAGGGAAATTAATGCTTGTGCTGTTGCTCTGCTTGTCATGTCTGGCTATGTGGTTGCTCAGCACAAAATTAGGAGGTAGTGGGCAAAGATGGCTTCTTGCCCAGAATGTCCCACACAAGATTGGCAGCAATTTGCCATTCTAGTTTCTGCGGCCTTACTCCGGTGTTGGCTGAGAGAAGAGGCCAGGATTGTCTGTGGTGTCCGTGTAGTACTTTGGGAATCTGGATTGTTAGAGTGAGTGAGGTTACCTGCACCTGCAGGTGAAGTGCCAATGAGGAGCAAAGAACCAGACTGCTATCTAGGTAAAAAGCCTAAATGGAAAATCTTACTTTTTTAAAAGAGATTTCAGTGTGCCAGGGTAATGTAGGTAGTGGATTAAAATGAAAGATCCAGCGGGTGAACTGTGATAATAGTTCCTCTAAAGAGACATGAATCTGCTTTTCATTTGTGTAACTGAAAAGGAAGCCCCTATTGCCTTCCTGAATACCCTTGCTCTTGCTAGGAATAAGGAAATTCCTTTTACTTTCTTTCCAGAGAGTTTGAAGTAAGCAGAGCTGATATGTAGAAATGGCTTTGGAATGTCAGCTGAAAGGAAATTTCACATGCAGCATGCCTTTCTTGACTGGGATTAACAACTACATTGCAAGCTTCTTCCTGGAGTAATCAATGACAAAAAATGCATTTAAAATCAGTGGGTGCAAAAGAGTAAGCTTTGGGTCATCCAAAAATGGAGAAAACGCCCTTTAAACCGAAAAAGGACAGAGTGTGACAACCCTGACCTGTCTGCCTTTCTATGGCTTGATAGTGATCTCTAATTTGTCTTAAGACATTTGAGCTCCATGTATTTCCCAGATACCATGGCCCTTTGAGATTGTTAGTAGAGCAGTGGGTGGCAGAGTAATCAGAGCATATCTGTCCCGGCTGTTGTTGCCTTCTTATTAGACTGTTACTCCCTGCAGTGGGGAGAGCGACTGCTGATAGGGCAGAGAGCAAGGGAGAGGGGCCTCTGCAACTTTTCAGTGCGATTGGCTGGTTTTGTTTTCTGGCATCTATGAGACTTGAGCTTTGGAGACTAGCCATTGAACATCCTGTTTTCACTGAATTTGTCGCTGTTCTTCCCAGTCCCTTCTTTTTTCTGGTTGCAGAGTTGCTGCAATAGCACCAAGGTAAGAATATGAAATGACACTTCTCAGCTCATTTCTCACACGGGGATTGTTATGTTTGAGCAAGAGGTATCTGGCATTCTAAGCAGATGAAGGCAAGTTTAGCTGGGATCTCAAAAATCACTATGATCTTTAGAGATAGGAAACAGAGGCCGATAATGTAACTCCAGATTTGTTGAGTGCTTGAATTAATCTAACCTGCTTCGAATCACACTATGTGGATTCCTGTGCAGCAAATACTAAGCAGTGCCTGCACACTTTTAGTCCTTATGCTCAATCCTGTTCTTGTTGGAAGTTGGTGAAAGTTTTAGGGTGAAGCTGCATCAAGCCTCACATATGTTGGGGCTTGTCAAGGACAGCAGAAGCGCAGTAATTCTCTTATGCCGCGAGCGTGTGACCAAGCTATGGCTTCCAGACTTTTCTGATAAAGCTGAATTAGGCATTGTACGTAGTTCTTCTGGGAGTCTCCCCTGGTGCCGGGCTTGTTTCCTTGCTGATCCTGGATGGAAAGGTTTGTTGCAGAAATGACCTGTGACTCCCATGCTCAGCACTTTCTGCAAAAAAAGAGGAGGGACAACTGAAATTTCTGTGTGTGTGGTCTCAGCACACTGAGCAGCCATCTCTGGTTAAGAGAGTCCTAGCAGGAAAGATAGACGGGCTTGCCCTGTTACAAGAAGAGAAGGGCCAGAACTAGAAATGCAGGGCATAAGAGAAGGTTGGATGGATATGTGTAGGAAGGGAGGAAGGAAAATGGAGGGGTAGAGACATTCAGAAGGGGATGCGTGTGGGCGAAAGACAGCTCTAGTCACTTTCTAAAGAACATCCTGCCCTAATTCTGCACCTCTCCTATGTGCTCCGGAAGCTACAGAGATCCTTGGTTTCCCTCCCCTCTTAGAATAATGTTCATAAAGCAGGGCTCAAGTTCCTCCCAGGTATGTTGGATTTTGAAGAGCTAAACAGGGCATGTGTTACAGGAAATTGGCAACTGAACATGCTTTCCAGTGCCAGAGGCCTTGGCAGCAGGCTCTGGTGCTGTTCTGAGATGTCAGTCAGCCCTGAAGGAGGAGGAAGTATGTTGTTCTGCATTTCTATCTAGTCCACGAATCCTACATATAGATTCCAGGTAAGGAGCGGCTTTCTGCAGAGGTAAAGGTGATTTGGCTCAGTGGGACTCTGTACAGGGAAGACTCAAGGAAAAGGTGTAACTCAGA